TGAGCAAGAATCCTTTTGCCCCTTGGAGACAATTGCACTCCATCTGCTGCGAGGCGGCCCGCTGCCGTGTAAGCCACCCTGTGGTCAAAAACCCCAAAATTCTGATGATGGCACCTGCCCCTGAGCCATGTGTTGACCAGGTGTGCTTTCCTGTTCCTTTCAGTGTTCTTCCCTGTCACTGAAGAGATTGATGAAAACACTACCTGTGCTCCCGCTCCATTGACCAGCCGCCCCAGTGCTCTCAAGTCCTTTTTGACTGCCTTTGGGCTTCTTAGCGCAACCTCGTCGTTGCCAACCTGTAGGACCAACAGGGGGTAGTAATCAGTGGGCCGAACCAGACCAGGGAGTTTCCTGGTGACGTCTCTCACCCGGGCCCTAGGGAGGGAGCAAGATGTAGCTTCCATTGGGATAGTGTAAATAGGTCCTAGAGACATTGTATACTGAATATAAATATCCCATGTATAAGAAATAAAACAGGCTGTATTGATTTTTGTTGATTTATGTGTGGTCCTGATCCAAATTGTGTAGAAAACTACACATAATAACTACTGGAATTAAGAGCTAGAAGTGAACATCTGCCAAAGATGATCTAGAGATTATTTTTAAATGTCTTCTGTGACACTGTAAGGATGAAGGCTAAAACTCGTTGTGTTTTGTTTGGTTGGTTTTTTTTCTTCCATCTTTCTTGCAGACTTCAAAAGTTTCGTCACGTACCTCCTGCATGTCACACATTGTTACACAGGATTTCAGGAACTGTCATCTTTCTCTTTTTGCCCTGCAATCCCTCCCTCCCTCTCAATATGTCCTTTTCAAATCTTGGAGCTGAGAAGGGGCAGGCTTAGTCACTCCTTGTGTAGGAAACTCCTACTGAGAAGCTGCCCACTGCAAAAAAAGCACAGCTTGCTTGGTGCACCCTGTTGTTAAAGCTAAACAAAGATTTTGAAGCTTTGGCTGGGAAGGGCAAGTCTCTGTCTGATACTGCACCCGTCAGTATCACAGTATGGTGATCCTCACAAGAAGACTGTACCCATATCCTGAGTATTTTAGAGTGTAGCCCTGACCAGTTTTTAAAGGTTCGGGTTTACGTACATGTGTTTCTCTTTTCCTCATGAGTTTAGTAGGAGCATTAGCCATGAAGTCCCAGCCAAATTCCAGCTTTCCTCTGACTTGGCAGGTCCATGCATGTCACTGTCCTGCATCCAGGAGCAACTAGAAGGTGGTTGTAATATTTCAGGCTACATTTCCATGATATTAGGGAAAAGCAGTCCCCCTCTATAAAGAGGTGAAGAGTACAGCACATGAAGTCCAGACCTTTGAGAACATTTAGAACTGAATTTAAATTTCTGCAGCTTGGGTCCTTTTTCTGAATATGTGCTAAGTATATAGTATGTTCGTAAATGAACATCGACACACTCTGAAGGATTTGACAGTAGGGAGTGCAGGAGTTTGTGCTGTCAAATATGTGCATGTTGCCCTTGGAAGCTACAAATTACTAGCAGAAAGAGAGGAGCTCTTTCTCAAAAGCTCTTTGTTGGATTGGACACTTGCCTTCAGATTTAATCATGGCAATGGTATTGTGCCCATTTGCTGGTAGAAGGCTAGTTTGTTCGCGATGTAAGGAGTATTTGGACATTTCAGTGTGGTACCACAGAACTGCTGAGAACAGCGAGGGAGCTGCTGTTCTTGCACACTTCACAAGTTCCAGTTCAGGCTTAAACCTGGGTGCTAACTCGGAAAGTAACTTTGCAAAACTGGATCCGTATTTAAACCCTGAGCGGTTGTTCTGACTTGTGGAGGATGTGTACAGACAGGCTTGACATGTGGGCAATATGTTTTGTGTAAGTGACATCCTTTCTAACTGTGAGAGCTTGAACTATCAGAGTTCAGCCAAGGCAATGTCCTTTACTGCACAAATTATTATGGAAGATTTTTTTTTGTAACTGAGCAGTAAGAGAGTTAAATGTTGTAAAGATGACAACTACAGCTAGACCAAAGGTGTTCTTAATGCAAGCTTTTGTTACCAAAGAGAGTTAGATGTATCCATTTAAAAACAAGAGGGGAAAAAAGGTCTGGTTGTCCTCAAACTGACCACATGGTGGCACACTTATTCCATGGACAAAAAAACGTAGCCCACACTACGCACCCCTGCAAGGCAATGGCTACAATCTTTAATGTTTGTAATAAAAAAGAACTGCCAGTCTTTGAAGGGCTGACCTGATGTATAAGACTTAGTGTACCTTGCTTCCCCACTTTGAGTATTGGTGACTTTTAAAATAAGATTTTTTTCCCATGTCTTCTCTGTGACCTTGAATAAAGTGATTTTATATTCGTGTCTGACCTTTTACATTTTGCCAGCTACTATGTGTGTTTTTTTGTTCTCTGTGCCAGAAACACCGTGGTGCTCTCCCATTAAAGTGAAACATGGTTATGCAAACTGCAGGACACCTCAAGGGGAATATTACAAGAACGTATTGGGGACAAGATGTGATATTCGCTGTCAAAAAGGCTATGAACTGCATGGCTCTCAGCAGCTAATTTGTCAGTCAAGCAAACGCTGGTCTGGCAAAGCGCTGTGCAAACGTAAGTAGCTATGGAATCTGTGAGTGCAGCTTGCGCCGCAGGTTAAAAAGCAGCTTGCGCCGCAGGTTCGGCAGACAATAAACTGTTTGCCTTTGAAACAGTGATCTTCAGATTGTTACTGGTATTATTTTAAACATTGACAATTGTCGTGGTTTAGCCCCAGCCGGCAACTAAGCACCACACAGCCGCTCGCTCACTCCCCCTCCCGCAGTGGGACGGGGAAGAGAATTGGGAAAAAACTCGTGGGTTGAGATAAACACGGTTTAATAGGACAGGAAAAAAAAAAAGGTAACAACAATGATAATACCAACAAAGGAATGTACAAGAACAAGTGATGCCCAATACAGCAATGGCTCACCACCCCGTGATCGACAGCCCGTCCCCGAGCAGCGATTTCCGCCCCCCGGCCAACTCCAGTTTATGTACTGGGCATGACGTCGTATGGTAGGGAATATCTCTTTGGCCAGTCTGGGTCAGCTGTCCCGGCTGTGTCCCCTCCCAGCTCCCCGTGCACCCCCAGCCTGCTCGCTGGCAGGCCAGCACAAGAAGCTGGACTGTCCTTGGCTGCTCAGCAGCAACCCAAAACATCAGCACACTATCAACAGCTTCTCATCCCAAATCCAAAACACAGTCCCGCACCAGCCTCTGCGAAGAAAACCAGCTCCATCCTGGCTGAAACCAGGACAACAATATACTTGGATATGTAGATAGACTTCTTGTTGAGGATCTTACAGTGGTACATGACACAACAAGTATCGTGAGTGATACAAATACTTTTGGCAGATAGGAAATGTTTTATGAGTGTGGGGTTTTGATTTGTGGGATTAGTTCTATGCCAGAGCCATAAAGCTGCTTTAAAATATTGCCATCTTGGATTTTATAAGTTGACACAATTTGTATCAGGTGTCTAAATGGGCTCCTGCAGTAAAACATTTTCTAAGAAGAGAGAAATAGGTACTTGTCATCTTTTTCTCATATAAATATTGTACTGGGCCACTAATGTGTATGTAGAGATAAATTTGAAATGTGGCTAATAAGAACAGTGTAAAAAACCTCATGTGGAACATGAATTTCTCCCACTTGTTTGCTAGCTGCTGCTTTATTTCTGTATAATACCCCCCATTCACACTACTCTAAAGGGGGGAGAACACGTTTCCGGAAGTCTTTGTTTTCTATTCCAGAAAAGCGCTGCCCCACCCTGTCCATGCCGACCAATGGGGGCTTCAAGTGTTTAGATGGTGCCTACTTTGGCTCGAGGTGTGAGTACTACTGTTCACCGGGATACCAGCTGAAAGGCGACCGTATAGTAACGTGCATGGACAACAAAGTTTGGAGTGGCCGGCCAGCGTCCTGCGTTGGTAAGTAGGAGGATTGGTTGGCATTCCAGAAAGTCTGTATCTTGAGGTACGTGATGGTGCCTGAGTCCTCCAAATTAATTCCAAAATGCTTTTTTATCGCATTCCTCGGGAGGAAAAGCAACTGTCCCTTTTGAGGAAGCAGAGAACATTTTCCAAGGGATACAGAGACATACCACTGTCACCTAGTACTTTCAGTCCCAAGTGAGTGTCTTCCTTACACACAAGCTATCAGCTCCAAGTGTTTCACTTTAATAAAGATGGAGCTGGTGTAAATGGTCAGTACTTTACAATGCTTATAACGGCCTTCATTGATCTCCTGGGTGACTCATTGGTAGTCTGTAATTACTGTGCTGCTCTTTTAGCATGTTCTCTGTGCCGCAGTCTGTCCTGCTCTTTGCAACTTAATGGTAAAACAAGTTTGAAACTAAACCCTTTAGCTGACCTCCCCTGTTGCTTTTCTTTCTTACGATCTTGGTCTCCAAATACGTCCTGGGAATATGAATGGATTGTAGTTACCAGCGTGGCTGCAGTGAGCTAAACTAAATTTCAGCCTAGTTCACATTAGTTATGCCAGTCATTTTCATTACATAGTCAGCAGTCTCCCAGGAACCTCAGCTGGGATAATTGTTTCTATATACATAAACCAAAAGAGAGATAAGCAAATATTAAGATTTAACTTTCCTTCCTACTAATGAGATTTCAGCAGATAGTGAAGTCTCAGCTGCTGCTCTTGTTTCTGGAAGTCTGATAAAAGGTTCAGCAGCCATCCACAAAGGAAGGAGGGGTTTTTTGGCCATTTGAATTGGCTACCAGTAATTTCAGCTTGTGGGTGGTAGAGTATTTGTGCTCAGTGTTTTTTTGTGTATGATGGCTCGGTTTTCCTCGGAATGCCTGTGGCTCAGTCTAGGTTAGCAAATAGCTTTGGAGTCTCTCCACTGTGGCCTGTCGTTTGTAGAATTTTTTTCAGGTTTCCTGTTACTTGGTGTTGTACCAATGTGTAAATGATCCTGCTGCTTAGGTCTAGACTGCTTGTAGTGTCCTTTGTTTTTATTTACAAAAATGAGCCTTGTCCTTCTCAATAATGTGGGCAGAGGAAGAAAAACAAACCCTTTTAAGTTTGGGAATGATAAAATGCTGTCCTCTTTATTTCCTGGCACTTCCAGAACCTTGTCTGTTTGCAGGGATAGGGTGCTTATTACAGAGGATGCTGTCTTGCAGAGTAGAGTAAGTACATCTTAAGCAAAAAAAAAAAAAAAGAGAGGCTAAGTTAGCACTAACACTTCTTTTTTGATTCCAAAAATGCAGAATAGTTGTTTCATAGGGTATGATTGCAAGTCCTAAGTAACCCAATAAAAGTAATACTATTATTTAAGTTCTGGTAATACCACATAGTATGGAGAAGACTCCTTCAAATCTTGTGTGCACACAGTTCCTATATGCAAATAGTGAGTTAGCAGGCTGCTTAATAAGGTTACCTTTTGACCTCTTGATAGGTAGGATAGAGATTTTTTTTTTGTGACCAGACATGACCCTAACAGTATAATGCAATTTGCAATTGAACACACATCCCTTACTGTAATTCAGTAATTAAGGTAAAGTCATCAGTGACATGCAGTCTATGAAAGCTTACCAGTGGCCAGGAGAGAACCAGCTGAATAGATGTTCTTTCTCACTTTCAGCTGAGGAATAAAATTAAGGTGAGGGGAGTGATGAAAGATAAAGAAGCTGTTTCATTTGTTACTTTAGTGTATAAGCAATTACTTTGCCCTGTGCATAGCAGGGATGTTACGTGTGATCGTAGGCATGGGCTGGTAAAGCTCATGTTGTTGCAAATAGTTAGGGAAGTGGCCTGGGGACACCACAGCTATTAGCATCAAGTATGTCAAAATTTCTGCAGACCTGAATTGACATTCCTCTTGAAAACAAGGGGCTTTCCTCTTCCCTTTTGTACTGCAGTTGCACGGCTTAGCATTTTTGCACAGAACTACTTGGGGTTCATAGTGTGGTAGTGAAGATCCATGTAGGAAAAGCATCAGGCTAACATCATTGCTGAAACAGGTGTTCATTAAAAAGGGAAGAAAATTTGTTTTTTTAAGCAAAGAAAATTAGATATGTTTTAGCAGTCACTTACAGGAGCCCTGACAAACAGTGAGTATTTTGCTGTAACAAAGCAGACTGTCTGTCCCCTGTCCCCCTTCTATAAGAGGAAGGATATCCTTCGTGTTGCTGAAATAACTTTGATTAAGAAAGATCAACATACAGCTGCTTTTGGTTATCAGCTAGCTAAAAATACCAATACTCACTTGAATAATGTTTCCACTATATCCTTAATGCACTGTAACATAGATTGAAATGAGTCTTTTCCTCTAGAGGATTGATAAATGTTACTTTTTCTTGTTACCTTTTCTTCTATAAAGGTTTCATTTTCCTACTGATTGTATAACAGAGGTTGGGGTAAATGGCTGTCACCGTGCTAAGTCATCCTTTTGTCACATCCCAAGACTGTATTGATAGGTAGTTAACTAAACAGGTTCCAACTACTGATGTCTGAAACAAGCTTTGTACTCCGAGTCATTAATTATACAGGCCCTGATAATGGATGCTTTGAAATACAGAGCAATGTCTTGTGGAGTGGGGTGGGGAGAGCAGAACAGTGTTTTTCATTCCCTCTTATTGTTTCCAGTTTCTTCATCTCTTTATGCCTTTGACACAGACTAATGTTTTGAATTAACTTCCAGCCATTGTTTAATGTCATCAGTAATCAGTAATAACAACATGTTTACGTAGCAGCAAACCGTTTACTTATCCTGTATGGACTCTTGAATAAGCAAGCAGTGGGCATTCAGTACCATCCCTCTGTTTCTTTCTTCTTGTCATCTCAAATTCACAAGCAAATAAACATAAACCTTTAACAAACTATGAGAAAGGCAGTCAACAAACTTTCTAAATTTTGTTGAAACCATTAATATCGCCAGTCCCAGAAGTATGTTTTAAAAGAAAATATCTAAAACCTATTTGAAAACTTAGCATTTTTCTCCACAAAGCTCAAAAGGTCGCTTTAAAATTTGGTATTCCGCTGCTGACCTCCTGGTGCCATGACTTCAATGCCACTTCCCCGCGTGGAGCCAGAGTACCAGTCGCTGCTGCCAAGTAGCCAAGAAGAGCGACAGCTTACAAGAATTAAGAGAGAATAAGTAGGAGAAGTAGTGGCTGAACAGCACCAAAGTTTTACTGAAAACTCAGTTTCCCTGCCCGTGATACAGGCGAGATTCACCTGTTTAATACACAGCCCAGCTAAACAGCTTAAATAAATCTGCTTGGCTTTTCATCGGTCTTTCAGCAGTGACACTGTAGGAAAAGCGTTAAGACTCGCTGCATGGGGTCAGACACCCTGCAGCATGTCCTGGCTCCAACTCTGCCCCGGAATACTTATTAAGCAAGAGAGTCTGACAATCTGGTGCTTACAGGATTATTTTTCCCTCTGATAAAACCTCCCCAGCAGTCAGCGATCTTGTGGGTTCCTCTGTTGGGGTTTGTTTTGGAACAAGTTTTGGTTTTTGACCTGCAGGTGGGCACCTTGCTCACATCATACATTTTATTGAAGGGGTTTGGGCGGGGGGGGGTGTGTTTCACTTTTGACACTTGTGTGTGTGTCGGGGGGAGTGTGTTTCAGTTTTGGCACTTGTGTGTTTGCCTGGGTGTTCCCTGGTTGCCTCCTCTGCATTTAAATGGGTTGGGTTTTTTTAGACCTGTCATCTTTCTGCCAGGCTGTGGCCAAGGTGCTTAATACGCTGTAGATTGGCTGCAACTTTGTACAAGGGCACAAGGAAAAAGACCTGAGCACTGTTTGGTTTAACACATCCCAGTGGCCACTGCAGTTAGAGAGCCTCTGGTAGACAGCTGCTTTCTCTTGGTCTGGCTCGAAGGAGAGTTATTCTGGTGGGCTTCATTTTGTGCCTGTTGAATGCTAGGAGGCAGCTGAAATGACCAAAGAAAATATCCTTTCCAGGAAATTTTACGTCCAGCTAAAAAGGCTGCCTGGCCCCTGGGTGCTTGGTGCGTCGGTTCTCACAGTAACCGTATTGTTTGTCTTTCCGATGTGGAAGTCCAAGCCTGTTCATACCAACCAGTCTTCTCTGCACTAAATAGCGTAATGAGCTTTCTGATTAATTAAGTGCTTAAAACACTGGGTTCTTAAATGCCGTTCTGTCTTTAAATAAACGTAATGCTGGAATAAATGTATACTGTCCACAGCAGAGTGGTGAGCTGATAGCACAGTAAACTAACCAGAGCCAGAAGCAACCTTGGTGAGCCTGGGTTGTTTCCTACCGTAGTTCAGCTACACTGGGGGGGTTATTGAGAGCAATGTAGTTTTGTAGAGGAGGGCAGAGATCTTGATGGCTGTGATGTGAGCATGTTTCCCACACATAATGGGAAGGTACTCTAAAAATAAGGCAGTGAATAAGAAACGTGAGGAAACAAGACAAAGTGCTTCCCACAGCTGGAGTGGATGTGTGAAAATCCTGCTCGCTTGTTTTTCTGCAGCAGGTGAGGGAAGGAAGAGTGAAAGAATCCAAAAAGTCAAAAAGTTAAAGATGCCACAAAGAAGAACTAAGTGCCTTAAGTATCTTTAGTGACGGGTGTCCTTGTAAAGTACAGGAAGCTTCAAAAGCCATTTAGAAGATTCTGCTGTTCATTTGTGATTGCTCTACTCTCTGTAGTGGGAACCTACTCTTGCTAGCTTCACCTTCTAGTAGGATCTACAAAGAAATCAACTGTTATCCTCCCAATACTATTGGAAGATTTTTTTTCATTGTTTATTTAGAAAAAAAAACACACAAAAAAAAGCATTTGTGTAAGGCAGCTTGCAAGATTCCTTATGTTTTCTGAATAACTTTGGTATGACACTTACCTGCCTGTGCCTCCCCCACTCCCTCCTGTGTAAAATTGAGACAGGAGCTCTTCCTGTGGAAGTGCCTCACAAAGCTGCAGTGTTTGGGGTTGGGGGAAAACTCTTACAGAAGAAATAGAGATGCAGCAGTTTTCAAGAGTCCCAGGTTCTTGGAATGCCATTAAAAGTTTGAAGGGGCTATAGCAAGGCTGCACTTGTCTCGGTTAAACTGGTAGAAAACATTGTGCGTTGCTTGTAGAATATGAGGGTCTATGAAATTATTTTGCATATTTGATGCTTTATAAAGACCTAAACCTTTTCTCGTTGCTATTTTTTGGAAAGAAATCCAGATTGTACTTTTTGTGTCTGTCCTGCAAATGAAAAGACAAGGCCTGGAACCCTTCAAATTTAAGCAGCCCTTCAGGGATTGTTTTCTATTTGCAGGTAAAGAGCAATCCTGTCTCTGTGTTCGTTTTTAAAGCTCATATAAGATCTCATGGATTCAGACTTAATTTTGGGTTGGGTATAACCCAAGCAATGGTAAAAAAAAACCCTGAGACTAAGCTATTAAAGAAGCTTTTTAAAATTTTAATTAATGATTGTAATGGTGTTTGGACTTGGTTTGCCCATGTATTTCTACTCAGCTGGCAAGACTGGCAATGGAAGTGGCTGAAGATGAGTAGCTGTGCATTGCCTTTGTCCTCATCAGGGTTTTTTATCATTGCCACTGTTCCTTTACTCCTGAATAACAGTCACAATGTTCTGGTAGCAGTTTAAATAAACTTTCAAAACTTTACCCAGTCTATTTTTTATTTTGTATTGCCTGGAAGGCATTATTTTAAGAATTACTTGGAAAAAATCAAATGCAGCAGCAATTGCCTGCAAAATGACAATTTTGTCAATCTTCCATTGCTTCTCTTTTTCCCTTTGCTGCAGGAAGAATAACCAAGACTTAACAGTAACATGCAAGGTTATTATATGCAGAGAGATTTATGGTCAATGTGCTTTACAAATGTTCTTAAGCACAATCTCCACCACTCAGATGAACAAAGAGAGGCAGAGCAGACAATGAGAAGGGTCAGGCTCCTCGGGTACAGTCTTGGGTATCCCTCCTTAGAGTTCAAAGCTAAATACAGTCAATATGTAGACATTGCTTTTTAACTGGGGACTAGATAAAGAAAGTTATGATAACTGCTTTTTAATTATTTTTTACATTGGGGCAAGGGTTGATCATTGTCATCTCTTTCTTACTCTTCTTACAAAAAGGTGAGAAATACAGTTTCCACCTGCCTTGGCTGAGACAGCTCCAGTATTGAGGAGGGCAGCGGAAGGTTGGTCCCGAATTACACTGACAACAGAGCAAGAACTGTGAAGAAAATGCATAGCTATAACACATGCACACATGCCCATTTCTGTGACATTTATTTCAACAGATACTGAACCTCCAAGAATCCAGTGCCCGAGTGTGAAGGAGAAAACTGCGGAGCCCAACAAGTTGACGGCCAGAGTGTTCTGGGACACCCCGGAAGGACGGGACACTGCTGACGGGATTCTGACAGAGTAGGTGCAAATCTATAAATGTTTGCATTTTCCCCTTTTTATTCCTGGGGTCCTTGGCTAGTAAAGCAGCTGATGAGGATGGCCAGGTAGCCTTTCCCCTTAATTCATCCAAGATGCTTATTTATAGCTGTCACCTGACAATGGCCTGTAAAGAATTGCATGTTTAATTGAAAAAATAAACACTGACAACTTGAATTGTTCAGGACCTGGCATGTAGCGGTGCAGCAGATTGTTGTGGTTGTTTTAGAGCTGATGGAATAAATGACAATAGCATTTTGACTGCACCTGTGAAATTTTCCAGAGCTTCTTTGTGGGTCCCTTCTCATATACAACAATTTTTCTTACAGCAAATTACCTTTTATACAGAAAAATGAAAACATTGGAGGTAGGAACAGAGGCAATTTTGACTGTCTTAAAAAAAAAAAAAGACAAACTGTGTCACAAACCAATATCTGCAAACATCTTTAGGCTTCTTCCTGAAGTAGTGCTGAGTACTGATGTCACAGTGTTCTGTACTTAATGCTACTTGTAAAGTAACACTTTTCATTTCAAACTTAAGCAGCTTTGAACACTGGATTAAAATTACCACTTTCTTCAAAATTTCCTTGACCGTTTTTATGGTTTCACAGTCACATTTTCCAGAAGAACAAGGTGCACTTGTGATGGTAGCACTGCCCCATTTTCACAACTTTATCATGCAGGATTTATGGCAGTCTAGATTATTGTAATGGAAAGAGTACAGAAAAAACTGCTTTTTTCATTAAGCAAGTTACATCTTTTAACTCTATATTAGTGGACTGATTAAGCTTAAAATCTCAATGTTGTAAGCTTAAAGATGTTTACAGTTTTATGTGAATACAAAATAGCTGTTGAAAGACACAGTGACATTGCCTTTTTATTGGTACAGTTTAAACAATATCAGAAAGAAGAATTCATTACACAACTAAAAACAATATTGCTGTTAAGGTCTAATATGATAATTCTACGGCAATTAACAGCATCAAAAAAGTTAAGCCTGGTAAAATAAAAACTTTGAAAAGTGTCATAATAAAGAAATTCCAAAGTCTTTTTGATGAAATAAATAACATCTGGCAGGCCCAAAAAATTAGGAATATCCAATATAGACTTTGTCATACGAGTAACTGTTCCCAGTTCTAAGAGGCTAGCTGTTGAATCTATGAAAGCTTTTCCATAAATCTATTTTTATAAAATCTTGCTAAACTGTGGTGTTTAGAGGTACAGTGCTTTCCTTAAATGCACTGGGTCCTGCAGGCCTGTGAGTATGTAAGCTCTCCCATTACATGGAACGCTGCTCAACCTCACTGCTTCAGTACTGAGGATACGTCTAGCATGTCTGAATTCTCCTGACACATCTGCAGGATAGGAACAAGTTCCAGGTGAAAATGCTTCTGTGGATCACCCCACCCTTCTGCTGTGACAATAAATCTCACTTTCTATTTCATTTTTGTACATGAGTATAAACATGGGAGCGGTGCAGAGCAGCCAGATGGGGTACGTTTCCCATTGTAAGAGGCTGGAAGTTTTCTTACACTCCGCTGGCTCTGGCTTATGCTGCAGCCCTAACAAGTGGATTGTTCACGATACAACATGAGGGAGGATCAATCTTGACTTTTCCTTATATAAGGGAAAGGAAGCTCGAGTTCCCTTGAGCATGGCGTGATGCTTGGCTACAGTATGGGTTGTCTTACAGGAGCGAGCAGGCCCTGCCTGCTCTCCCTCCCTTGCCTCAGCAGGGTGGGACCCTTTCGTACAACTCCAGGGTGGGCTGCTGGGAGCAAGTTTAAATACTCTGGTCGCTGCTGCCCAGCTTCTTTCTTTGCTTGCTCTCAGTCTTCAGTCGTTGCAGTGCAGCCAGACAACCTTAGCATGCCACAAACCTCACTCTTTAGGCTTTTACAGCATTATCAGTAGGCAGCTGATGAATTTATGAATGTCTGTCCTGTTTTTGCCTCCTGTTTCAGTGTTATTTTGAAAGGCCTGCCACCAGGGTCACATTTTCCAGAAGGTGACCACAAAATCCAATATACTGTGTATGACAGAGCTGAAAACAAAGGCACTTGCAAATTTCTTGTTAAAGTCAGAGGTAAGAATGATGTTTTACCCTATAAATACAGTCACTGATTTGCATCTGGCTTAGTAGGGAATTTGAGAAATGTCCTTATTTCTATATTTGTCTGCATATGGATGTGTATATAAACTGTGTGTTGATGCTGAACGGGAGAACAACATCTTGCTGAAGGCCGTAGGGGCCAGGCCTGCAGCGGGGTGGGTGGCCAGTGCTCGGCACTCTGCATGTCAGGGGAGAGCTATGTTTTGATCAGTCCTGCCTCCAGCTCCACACCCCTTCCCTCCCGCTGGCTTCTCCCTGATGCTTAGCTTGTGAGCTGCTGAAGCAAGTCCACAAAGGAGTGTTTTCAGCTGTGACTCGCATCTGTCAAGCAGGGCTGCCCTTTCACAAGTCCAGATCTTGAAATTTGGAGTTGAATATACAGAGATGAAACCTGTAGGTTTCAGCTTCAGCTCTCTTCGTGCTCCATGACTTTTTGTCACCGTTGATACCACAATCACATGCATACACCTATACATCTGTATCATTTCAGTTTACATATGAGTTAGGAGAGGTTTTTTTTGGTTGGTTGATGTTTTCAGGTACATGACTCTAATAATATAGAAAGCAAACAGAAAAATGTTTTTTATATTGGTATTCCACTGGCTATGCTACCCTAGTAACAAACAGGGTGATTCATGTTTGTCTTTTTTTTTTTTTTCTCTTGCTTAAAGTCAGGCGTTGTGTGAAATTAAACGCCCCAGATAATGGCTACATCAAGTGTTCAGGTGATGGAAATAACTATGGCGCTACATGCGAGTTCTCCTGCATTGGTGGCTATGAGCTGCAAGGAAGCCCAGCTAGAGTATGCCAGTACAATTTGGGGTGGTCAGGAGTGGAACCAACCTGTGCACGTAAGTGAGTATTTCACCACTTTACCAGAAGGGCTGCCAGTTCTCATGGCAGTGAGAATTTGGGAAGGGTGTGTGTGAATACAGCTGCAAACTTTAATGCCTTAGAGGTAAGAAACTTACCATCTTTCTCTCCTCTGCCAATCTGCACTTACAGCTGAAACCTTGCCCACTTTTGGCTCCTTTTTCCTAGGATGATGATGGTACCTCACAACTGATAGCATGTTTTAGCTCAAAGCTCTCTACAAAATTTCTCATTCTGGAGTCAGTCCATCTTGCAAGCCAGAACAGCTTAAGATAAAATTGTTGGCTTCAACGAGGCCAGTATTTCATCCATATCTTCTTCATTATTATTTCTTCTTCTTGTGCTTCTGCTGATAGTTTGTGCTTTTAGAAATAGATCTGTTTTCAGTATGCTCTAGAATTTTTGTTTTAAATTTAATTATAGCCATGAATATTAATGTGAATGTGAGGACTGCAGCTGCACTTCTGGATCAATTTTATGAGAAGCGGAGACTGCTAATTATTTCAACTCCTACCGCAGCCAACTTCTTCTACAGGATGCAGTTGGGAATGCTGCAGGTAAAACACAGTTCAGGGTGCAACTATTTTTTTTTCTTTAAAGAAAGACACAAGAGAACAGGCTCCACTGTTTGACAGAAATCTGCAAACTTCTGTTATTATATTGTGGCCACTGGAGGATCTGGCTGAAGCGGTAGTGGTTCTGCATTAATCCTTTCCACATGGGTTTGAGTTGAAACATGTCCCCAGTCTTTAATTCAGCTCTGTTCTGGATTGTGCTGCCTCTGACTGACCCAGGCCTCTCGCCCTCTTCCATCCTCCCCAAATTAATTTAATATTAACTTGTACTTAATAATCATTCCCTAACTCAGCTCCTAAAGAAGTTGAAAAAAACTCCTAAACCATTCAGCACTTCAGTGGTTGCAGTTCATGCAAACTAGGCTCACAGACTTTGTAACTACAACGCAAGGAAGTGTGAATAGCTTCAGAAATAACCCCTGCACCAGCAAACAAAGGACCAGAGACTCAGTGTAGAAGTCATCCAGAGTGCTGGAGGTAGCACTGGGGTATTTTGTTCCAAAAACAAGAACACTTCTGGTAATTGTCCTTCTTGTGTTTTGTAAATGTGATGCTCTTGTTGGGTTCTTGCTAGACTTAGGGATGTATCCGTGTCCTTAGGGAAAGGAGCCAATCCTGGATTCTTTCACAGCGGCAAGTGTGTCTGTCCTGTTTCTTTTCTCACAACTGTAACAAAATTCAGTATAAATAGTCTTTGGGATATGAACATCATGATGTTTTTAACTGCTGGCTTAAGGTACAGTTGTATTAAAAAAAAAGTTTTCCTTTCCCCCTATTAGATTAACTTGGCAAGAAAATGCAATATATTGATGAAAATGACAAACAAGTCAATGGTCAAATAAGTTGGCATGAAAGAAGGCTTTATGCAGTCGACTTCCATTTCACATACCTTGCTTTGATTGCCAAATTAGATTACTGGCACAATGCTTGATACCCTGGCACCTTTTCATGTCATTACAAAGATGATAAGTTTATATTTCTCCCAGGTGGTCCTTGTGTGTTCTTTTTCTTAGAGTACTTAAGAACCCATCATTTAACATCCCCTGGAGTCATCAGGCTCTAGTTCTTCGCAGTGAGAATTAGAGACTTGGCAAAGTACACTCTCATTTCAGTTTAAACCACCTTACTAACATAAGAAGATCGGACTCTTTATGAACGCTTGCTGCATCTCAAAACCACCCCCTGTTCTCTCACTGATAACTAACACACCTCTTTCTTCTTATAACTCTTCCAGCCGGCACAGTGTGGTTTAGACCTCCGACACGTTACCGTAGTTGAATTGGTTGGTGTCTTCCCAGCACAGATAGGAAGAATAGGTGTAAAGCTGCTGCCCCCGTCACTTGCCCTGCAACTCAGGTAAAGTAAGTTCTTACTGCTATTATAGTTGTGTCTTAGTGTATATGATGCATTCTCTTACTCTCTAAATATACATATTATACTCTAATGTACGTAGATAGACACTGGAAGATAGATGTTGATGAGTAAGTTTGAGGATTAATTTGCTCTCTCTCTCTGTAATAGCTACTACAAATTCATGGGCATTTGGTATTTAGGAAATTAAGAGCGTAGACTTCATCTTGTTTCACATTGAAATAGGCTGTGACCATTTAATGGTGAAATGGTGACCATTTAATGTGTCACAGCCCATTTAAATGTGAAACAAGTTGAAGTCTATGGCCACTCTTTCAAGTTCCATGTCTTCCTTGCCCCTTTGCTCAAACTGAGTTCATTTCTGAATTCATGTGAAGCCCCTGTGTATCCTTTTGATCACGTTATAGATCTATATTTTTGGGTGCTGCCACTGAAAATACATTAAGTACATCTGTATTTGTGCTGGAGTTGTCTGACACAGCCATGACAGGTCACAGTCACTTTGCAAGGACAGTCTTGGAGCAGCTGCCAGTGACAGCTCCTCTTCTCTGCAGCGTTGCTGGTGGTTGTGGCCAGGCCAGAAGGGAAAGCAGTGGTTGCTCTTTGAAGTCCCACATGTAGAAATGACATGGGCAGTATTTCAAAGGGAAGATTATCGCAGCCTTCCCAGCCTGACTGCAACATTCAGCAGTTTTACTGAGGTGCCTAAACTGTTTTGACTTGGTTTTAGACTGGCAGGGGAGGCTGGTTTTCACTTGAAAGGGAGACTTCAAGTGCCAGCCAGCATTTCCCAGGGACAGGAGGACTACAAGAGCCAAACGTGAAGGCCTCAGTGGTAGGGAAAGTAGTACTTAGGAAAAGAGTCCAGGAGCATTTTAGACAACATCTTTCATGATATGCCTGAGGAAATGCAGTGAATTTTAATTGGGGACAATAAAAAATGCTGACAAGTCAGAGAGGTTTTTTTTGGATTGCAAAAAATAAAACCATTTTATCTTTATGAAAGGAGAAAGAGAACACAAAGAGCTTCTCTCTTATTCCAAAAAGTAAAGGTACTTTTACTGAAGTTGAAGCGGTTTTCTTGTGGCTCTGTGGAAAATAGTAAGCTCTGGTAACATCTCATGCCATGCCCTGCCCTGCCCTCCCCTCAACCTTTAATGGAGCTATGTTTTGGTAATTAGTATGGTATGACCTGCACTCCCTGCACTCAGTGACAGTTAGTTTTCAATTTGATTTTTTTTTCCTCTGTTGCTACTGCAGTTGTGTGAATTACAGCATTCCAGGTCTAGAAGGCACTTTATTCAAGACATTTAAGGGTGCGTTCAGTACACTAATGAGCACAGGTACCCTAGTTAAAACTTTGGAAACCTCAGAAGGTTAGCATTTGCATGTGTAGAAAGTAAGCATTCTTCTTAGGTGAGATGAGGCACAAGAGGAATGTAGTTTCTTATCACCATAGCTTAACTCCGAACTTTATTTTAGTTTGAATTTAATAGCCAAGTTCCCTAATTGCAACAAGAAAGAGACCTAGAGCACTCAAACTTGTTAGAAGGCTGAGGAAGGTCAATTTTGATGCTTCACACCTTACTAACATCCCCCCAGACCCTCTTCTACATAGCACCTTTCCTCTCCTGACACCATTGTCACAGCTGCCTGAATTTATCTTCCACACACCAATGATGTTGACTGACTGCATGTCTAAGGACCTTCTAGTTCATTACTCCTTCAAGCAAAAGATGAAAAAAGCACTAAGGATACACTTGTGTTACTGTCACACCTCCAGAGGAGCCCAAATGACCCCATTTACCACTTGGAAGGAAAGGACTCTGCCATGATTAGCAGCAGCTTTTGTTCTCCTAAATCGGAGTTACCGCCAGGTAGATGGTTATTATTAGGAAGCAATGAAAACTGACTCCAATAATTTTGTCCTGCGTTTTCTCGTTGTGGTTTCGTACCTTGTGGAAGCCAAGAAAGGGAATAGTCTCCTTTAGTTTCAAAAAATCTAGTTCCATCACAATGGTTTTCTTTAGGCAACGTATATAGTACGTTTTTTGTCCTGTTTTTTTTTTCTCTTGTGATAGAAAATAGGTAATGGCAGGTACTCTGCTAACAGTCAGAGGTCTGAGAAGAACACAGAGCTGCATGCAGTTACCTTGACCTTTCCCTAGTGTAGAGGTACAGCTTGCAGCACATGGAGACGCTCGCTCTCTGACTCCTTGTTCTCACAGCTGAAACAAAGCAGACCCTGTGTAGCCTGCTCTGACCAGCCCTGCCTTCCTCTGCTGAGACCCAACAGGCTGGTTCTGCCCTTTATTAGTTTGAAGTGCCCAGGCAGTAGATGACGGGCTTTAACAAAACAAGTTCCTTATTTTGCAGGCTGCTGCTGAGGATCCCCCATTACAATTTCAACATCGTGGTGATGGACAAGCACGGAATGGACAAGGAACGCTATCCTTTCCCAGCAACGCCAGCTGAGCTCTTTGCACTTATTGACAATTTTCCCTTGAGAAAAGAAGAGATGAAACTGCAAGCAGAAATTGGCCAGTCATGTCCCTGATTCAGAATTGCAGGGCTTGCAGTTGTCAGTGATTTTTTTTTTTTTTTAATCCACGTAATTCTCCCCTTGGTGCTACACAAAGCATGGCTTTTTTAATCACTGATGTACAGATTTTTTGTGTGTGTATTGTTAAGTCTGTCTGGCTGTGTAGCTACTCTGCATAGAAGTATGCATGATGCTTTTTTGTACTTTCAGCCATCTTTAGAGAAAAGTGTATGTAGGATTACTACCCAATGGAATTTTTTGTACAGAGTGAAGAACTGAGGCACGTTTCTGTGAGTCTATTTTGGATTTTTCATTCAGTGTAAAATTGGGGTTTCTTTCTTACTGTTTGTAAGTCTTTTTATTAATAAAATATTGTTTTGCAAACAGATAGGTGTCTAAAATTCCTCCTGGAGATAAACATTGATCAATTAATTCAAAAGTTGGATCAAAATACTCCTCTGCAAACCACTGTAACAGAGACATTAGCCTCAGATTGAAAGTGTACAAGCAACCCAGCAGTGTCTTTCCATTCCACTAATAATATGGTCAATCACAGACAAAAAGCATAAGCCAAAGGCAACGCAAGTACCTGTTTACAGCAGCAGCGAGGTGAAAATAGCTGACAGCAGAAGTACAGAAGTCATTGCCAGAAAGAATACAATAAAGGAACAGTGAGCAGTGTAGAAGATGGACAGTAATTACTAAAGGCCACATACTGCAATGCTTGGTAGGAAAACATGCTCTTACCAGGTATGCTTCTCCCTTTGGCTTTTCACGTCCAATGGACTTGGAGTAGCAGATTTCTTCCCTCTCTTCACCTTGGAGACAGACCAGGCTGTTGATGGGATGGCATGGAAACATGACCCCCAGGGAAAATTCATCAAGGACTTGTCATTTCCAGATCTGTGAAAATATTTGTTTGCCAGTCATCACTTACAAATTAACAAAAAAGTTCCCTGCTTAGTAAAGTGTTAGGAGGCAATCCAAAAAGGAAAGAGTTTGCTATTGTTTGTTTTATTATAGCTCACAGTCTTGCCGATCCACTGCAAAGAATATACATCGCACATGAAGAAGAATATAAGCATCAAAGGAGTGAAAATTGTGAGTTACAGCTTTGGATACCTGTTTACGGGATATGATGCATGATTTGACATGCCTGAAAAGCAGCACTCCAATGTCTGTGCTGTTCATTCTTGCCACTCAAGAGCACGGCCCTGTTTTTTCAGCCAAATTCTTGTTTGACCATAAAGTGGATTGTTCAATTTTACACTCAGGTGTCAGCAGAGGAACAGTTTATCAGCATCTTTAAAGCAATCCTTACCAGAATTCGGTCTCTCACACCCTCTGAAATTAGAAAATCTCATTAAAAATGTTGCCCCTGCAAGTGAATTGATGAGAGAATGAACCTGAAGAGAGGGAAGTCACGCCTGACACTAGCTCGCAAAAACTAATTTGTGAACTGAAGCGTGACAGCGCCAAGGAGGACGTGGGTGGTGGCAGGCTGTCTCTTCTGAACAGGACCGTCTGCTTCCAAAAGCGTTACTGAACACCAAGAGTAGGTATGAAAGCATGGCACGGCCCTGGTGATGACAACTCCCTGCAGTGTTGATGCCAAAGGCAAAGAACATCTGGATACACCCTGAACTCTGCGGGTGATGGTGCCAGGCTTGCAAGGATGAGCAACCGGACAGCAAGGAAGCCCTGACAGAGGTCTCCCAAGTGTTGTCATCAGGAATAAGATGCAAGGACAGGATTGGTGACAAAAATCACAGCAGTAGCATTTCTGTTCCAGACCTGACCAAACCATAAAATCAGTCCTGGACCCACCATAAAGGAGCAAAGAGGGTAAGAGTCAGCATGCTGATGGACACAGCTGTACCCCAAATTGCCTTTCCTTTGCTGCCTAACACCAGTGGTTCAGAAAACTAGCTGTGGCCAGGCACACCAGATGGCTTCATGCCTTAAGTGTCACATGTGGAACAGAGACAGCCTCAGGACACATCCATACAGAATCACAGAATCACTAGGTTGGAAAGGACCTTCAAGATCATCAAGTCCAACCATTAATCCAGCGCCACCATGTCCCCTAAACCATGTCTTGAAGCGCCACATCCACACGTTTTTTGAACACTTCCAGAGATGGCGACTCCACCACCTCCCTGGGCAGCCTGTTCATTGGAACAGGCCTGACCACCCTCTCAGTGAAGAAATTTTTCCTAATATCCAATCTATACATGACCATACATACATACCGACTGCTGCGGCCACAGTTCTCTGGCTCGGGTCCTTCGGCGTGCATATGCTTACAGCATGAATGCACAAGCGGGCAGGTTTTTACCTCCCCACTTCCCTCGTTCAAAAAGCACATCAACTGATTTCCAATGATTTAGAAAAATAATAAAATCTCTAATGGGTCTTATTTTTCTACTGTATTGCTGCAATTCCAATTCGCTTTGATTTTGGTTAACGGAATCAGTGCATCCAGTCGTCTTTCACGCCTGAGTGAACAGGAGCTGCGGGCCTTTACGATTGCTACATCAGGAAAGCACTGCAATCACTGGGTTGTTACAGGAAATTGAATTAAGTGGAGGACAGTGCATGAGTGATTGGATTACTAGTTATAGTTCTACGCAGAACAGCTATTAAAATCTTGTGATTAAGAAAAGCTGTTCTTGATTAGTAATACAAGGTTTCTGGCATTTTCTATTGTACATTTTTGTGGGGAGGAATGGAACAGTGAAAAACATAATGTGCCATCTCTGTTTTGGAGTCAAATCAGCCTGCATGTACAGTACACAGGGATGTGGCAGACCAGCCTTTTGCGAAAGGCCCTTCTGCTTCAACAAGGGACTTAGTATTTCTGGCTTTAGTGCAGCATTTATATATTCAAACAAACTCCAAATACTCAAATATATTCCAGTAATTCATCCTGCAGACTTTTGGTCCCACAAAAATAACACTGCATAAACAAGGTGCAGTATTGACACTAGTGCAGGTTTGGTTTGTTTTTTTTTTTTTTTTAATGTTTAGCAGAAAATTCAGCTTCCTCAAAATCATACAGGCTGGAGTCTGTTGTACTACCAACACGGCTCTTCTTGCCATAGCTCTAATCCTACCCCTGCTGTCAAAATGCAAATCCTGTTTAAAACATGATTTTTAGTTGGGAGGATTAAGGGCTGTTTCCAAGAAGCAAGACCTGCCATGAGTTTTGTCCTTTCCACTCCCACCTCCAGGCTATTCATTGCAGGAGGTGAGTATGACACCTGATGACAGTGATGTGGATACAGCCACAGGCTGGAGGTTCCGACATAATTCTGCAGATACTTTTCAATTTTTAATATGAACCAAAAGACTTGAATCAGTTTAGACCAGAAAAGAATTCATGTTTCTGTCACGCAACATCTTTTGCAAAGAAACAAAACTATTGGGATAAATTGTGGGAGGCAGCAATTTTTCATGAGCACAAAACAATTTTGTAAATGGCCTGATTTTCCCCAGATCCTACCCAAGAACTCACCTATTTTGATGAGAACAACCCCTGCCGTCACACACCTCCGCTACACCTGCAGACGAGAGACAAAATTTAGAGTTGGACATGCCTATTCTTGAAGTTCAAGCCATCCCCTCTGGGACAGCAGGCGTTATGTTTTAGTGGAAACACCAATGACCCTTACAGCTCTGCGCTAAATGACTACAACGTGCAGCTTCGTTACAGCTCGGTGCTTAGGTAAGAGCATGAGTCAGACTGCTTAATGCAATTAATGAAAGCGCAGAGGCTAAAAAGTAACCTGCAGTATATGTAAATACTCTTAAAGGAGTGCAACTCCCTTTTTAAATGGAGTTGATGAAATAATGGCGCTTAGGCCGCGCCAGCTCAGCGCTAGATCGCTCCCAGCCACTCACCTCAGTCTCTGCTAGGGCTGCACCTCCACGGGAGGGGAAAAGGCCCGAGTGCTTCATGCCGACAGGAGATGGCACAGCTCCTCTCCGCCGCGTAGCTGCTCCCCGCGTCCCTCTCCCCGTCTGTGGCCAGAGGATGTTTTTACGGCGGCTCGGTGAAGGGGAGAGTGGGACAGCGCTGGTGGACTGGGGAAGGCAGAAGGCAGCAAGGCTGCCTGGGCTCGAGGAGCCAGCGAGGACACCGGCGGTTGTGGGGGGCACCTGCATTTCTCTGGCCTCGCCCAAGCAGCGATCCGGCTGCTGCGAGTGCTGTACAACGCAGGGGAAGCCGACGGGAAGGACAGTGTCCATGCGGAATGTGTTAGAGCGTGTCTAGTTACCACCTGTCCTGCCTTCAGCTGGGGTAGAGCTGGTTTTCTTCACAGAAGCTGGTGTGAGGCTGTGTTTTGGATTTGGGATGAGAAACTGTTGATAAGGTGCTGATGTTTTGGGGTGTTGCTGAGCAGTCAAGGACAGTCCAGCTTCTCATGCTGGCCTGCAGCGAGCAGGCTGGGGGTGCCCGGGGAGCTGGGAGGGGACACAGCCGGGACAGCTGACCCAGGCTGGCCAGAGGGGTACCTCATACCATATGACGTCATGCTCGGTATATAAAGCTGGGGGAAGAAGAAAGAAGGGGGGGGACATCAGAGTTACAGCGTTTGCCTTCCCAAGTAAGCGTTACGCGTGATGGAGCCCTGCTTCCCTGGAGATGGCTGAACACTCGCCTGCCCATGGGGAGTGGGGAATGGATTCCTTGTTCTGCTTTGCTTGTGTGAGCGGCTTTTGCTTTCCCTATTGAACTGTCTTTATCTCAACCCACGGGTTTTCTCACTTCCACTCTTCCAATTCTCTCTCTTATCCCACCCTGAGGGAGTGAGTGAGCAGCTGCGTGGTGCTCAGTTGCTGGCTGGGGTTAAACCATGACATCTGGGGGAAAAAAGAATAATAAAAAAATCAGGACCAGTAATTACAGAAAAGCTGCATTTTGAACATACCTAGATTTTCAGGTGGGCAGGAACCTGAACTAGGGAAGAGGAAGGAGATAGTGAGACAGAGGGAAGGACCTGCTGA